AGGAGGGACTTCATACACCAGCCCCTGGCACCTCCCTCTCTCCCCGTTACGTCTCTCTCTCGTAATATAGGCGAAGCCCTGCTACTGTGACGCCCTGCATCCACCACCACGCTGTCGTGCTGCTGGATCTTCATCAACCTCTCCTTCCCCCTTGCTGGATCAAGAAGGAGGAGACGTCTCCCGTCCCGTACGTGTGTTGAACGCGGAGGTGCCGTCCGTTCTACGCTTGGTCATCGGTGATTTGGATCATGTCGTGTTCGACTACATCATCACCGTTCTTTGAACGCTTCCGCACGCGATCTACAAAGGTATGTAGATACATCCGATGACTCGTTGCTAGATGAACTCCTAGATGGATCTTGGTGAAACGAATAGGAAAATTTTTGTTTTCTGCAACGTTCCCCAACACCTTGAGTGGGGGGCACGATTGCTTTGCTTGTTCGCCGAGCTGGGCAATTTGTTTCCCAGCTGCTCGTCGTTCTTTCAGCCTTTGATCACTGACTGTACTTCCCGACCGCTCCGCTTCGGCCCATGTCTTTGCAATAATGCGCTCATAGTTGCCTTTCGGCGGAGACTTGGGTGGTTTTGCCAGGGCAGCCAGAGTGCGCTTCACTTTCACCGGATCTACCTTCTCCTCCGGAGGTGGATGTCTCTTTGCTTTCAACCCTTGAAACCAGTCATCCACTTCGGTTCACGCGATCTTCACGTTCTCCTCCGGGGTCCTCTCGTATGGTAACTTCTCTGGAGTCTTCAGAGAAGGACCGAATCTGTATGTCCTCCCGCCTCTGGTTGTACTGCTAGACGCCGACCGAGCAGACGGAGCGGTTGTCTTCTTTACTTGCTTAAGAGGCGGAGGAGAAGGACTACGACGCGCCGGAGCAGCTGGAGCGGCGGCAGGTCTCTTCCGCCCTTGCTGACGAGGCGGAGAAGGAGGAGGCTGGCTGCTCGGGCGCGTCGGCGCAGGCGGAGAAGGAGGCGGAGTGCCACCACGCGCCGGAGAAGGAGCCGGCCGAGGGCCCTGATCGTCACTCGCCGGAGGAGGAGGCGGTGGAGGAGGCGGAGTGCCTTGACTTGCCGGAGGAGGAGGAGGAGGCGGAGGCGTCTAGTTCGGAAGGTTGATGAGCTCCTTCCGCCATAGGTATGGAGTCTTCAGAGCAGACCCCAGCCGAGTCTCCCCTTCACCGGTAGGGTGGTCAAGCTAGAGGTCCTCAAATCCCTCCGTTATTTCATCCACCATCACCCTAGCATATCCTTCTGGAATCGGCCGGCAGTGAAAAGTTGCGCCGGGTTCAGTAGGATAAACAGAGCCAACAGCCGCCTTGACCTTCAAATTCATCCATTGCGTCATAAGGTGGCAATTTTGAGACTCCGTTATAGCATCCACGGGATAGCTGGCAGGAGCCGTCAAGGCATGCTCCGGCTGAAGCAGCTCGGTGGAAGCCACGCTGCTTCTCCGCTGAGATGGCGGGGTAGCTTCGGGGGAAGCTTCGGCAGTACGTTTGCTGCGATTTGCTTCTCGTTCCTCTATCGCGTCTACCCTTGCTTGCAGCGCCTGCATTTGGGTCTGCTGCACTTTTTTCCTCCTCTCATGGGATTTGTAACCGCCTGCGTCCGGAAACCCAACCTTCCACGGAATGGAGCCTGGCGTGCCTCGTGTCATTTGGTTTTCGAGAATTTGACATTTACACCGAGGCATTCTTGTTCTGAGAGCAACAGTGATTGGCAGCAGCAGTAATTATCAGAATATTAGTGAATTTGCCTGAATCTGGAGCATTCTTTATTTTCGTATTTCCCCACTTGTTGGCTGTGACATATTAATCTGCTCAGTAACTTACAATTCTTTCATGTCACTGAGCATAGCAAAGGTATGGCGCAAAGGTATGGCAGTGATAGTATCGACGTAATTGCAGCTATTCTTTATTGCAGTAATTGTTTATAATTAATCTGCTCAGTAATAATTGTTGTATGTCAAACAAATAATGTTGCATATGTAAATGGTGTCAGTAAAACAGTTTTTGATCTTATCACTGCTTGTCTACCGGGCCACTAAGAGGATTCAGTTAACATAAATGTACACTTGGTTGACATTTAGCAAGTTCCTTTCAGGATGACTTATTTTTCGGGAGTGTTCCTACCTTTGTAGCACTATAATTCGTTTTCTCACGTCGTTTTTCGCAATGGTTCCATTATATTTGTCATTCTGTGGTGTACTATCGAATACCATCTTGTCTGTGCATACTTTCTTCCAGGAGAGATAACTATTCTGTTGCATCTTCTATATGAATATTGCTCTGTCATTTGTCAACTGCTTGTCCGTTGCACATGGTAACAGTTTCCTTCCATAAGCTAATCATGATCTGTGACCACTCTTTTTTCTGTTCTCTCTGCAGCATCGTATCTTAATTCATGTATGATAGCACAATATTTCAGTACATATCCAGTAGCATGATATCTGCAGTATAATCCCAGCCATGTTCTTGAAGCTATCACAAAAGCATTTGATTCTGTCTACAGTGTTTGTTACTTGAGCTGCTGTCAAAGGAGGCTTTTGGACTGAAATGGACCGACTGGATTGCTTGCCTCACCTAGTGGGCTTTTCTATAGAACTGCTATCTCTACTGCCGCTCTTCATACTTTCAGCTGACTAGTTAGCTGCCCTTGTCCAAGAAGCACATCTCTCACCGTCTCATGAGACAGCATACTGTTTATCTGATCCATCCAAAAAGATGGTGCCATTGTCACCGTCCTCATTGAGACAAAAGCCAAGTGGAGCTACACGCAAATAAGGACACTCTGCTTGGTTCCGGTGATGCTATAGGGTTCCGTGATATTGACAACGATAGGGCTTCATACAGTTAAGTTCTGGTGAAGGATAGATGATCTGAAAGTGCATGTGCAGAACTTATGAAGCATATTCAGCACTAAAAAGAAACCAGTGGTGCAAATAATGACAGAACCGAATATCTTTTATGGAAGAGGAGGAGCCAAGTCCACTGGTCAGTCAAAGAGTCATGCGACACCATGATTTAGAGGGTCAACTTAACCCCGGGAGAACAAGGCAAGGCGAAATGGAAATGAAGATCTACATATGTTCAAGCCATGTCCACATAACTACTCTGCAACAGTATTTGCTGGCTCTGGATTGCAACTTGAAGATCTAACTGCACGGCTACTATATGATATGAAAAATCATCTCCAGATACAAACTCTTCTTCTCCTGCCTAGGCTAACTCTTCAAGGCAGACAAATACTGAGTGGCCTCGGGTTCAGGGACACTTCTGAAAGAACAGGGTGGCCTCGGGCAGTTTGACAGCAAGGGTTGCTTCTCGGTTCAATCAGCCTACAGGATTTATTGTGAGTTGCAGCGGCGCCAGAGCAACCATGGATCCCCTTGGCGAGTGCTCTGAGGGTGTGCTGGAAGACCGGAAAGTGTGGACCGATCGATCTCTGGAAGGTGCGGTCCCCGGGGAAAGTAGACCATTTCTTGTGCCCACAACAGCCACCCTATGCCGAGGAATGTTGAACAAATTGGCGAGCTGTGTTGTGTGCCACAGGCTACCAGAGGATGTTCCTCCGTTGCAAGGAGGTGAAGAAGATGTGGCGTCAGCTGCTTTCAAACATTTTTGCCATGCCTGAAGATAGTAAACTGAAGGCCGTCTGTCTCACGTGGTTGCGGTGGACGGAGGGAAACAAAGCAAAGCATATATTTTCTACGAAATGAAAAGCATCATGCAGTAATGTGGACATATTTTCTTTGCAGATTGGAGAATGTGCATATCTTTTCCTTAGGTAGTCTGTGCATGTGTGCGCAATCTGAACTCGTGTCTGATTCCACTTTGACGAGAGTAATGAAAATGTTATGTGTGTGTGTGTGTGTGTGTGTGAATGAAAAGAGAGTGGCATTTCAAAACTGGCAACAAATTTTGAAAAATGTGTAAAGAAAATGTTTGTGACATCTAAAAAATATCATGAGTTTAGATAAATGTATGTGGCATTTAAAAAAAAGTACAATGTAAAATAATATACGTGTGATTCAAAAAATAAAAAATAAAAAATGTGCTTGTGACATTTAAAAAAAGGATACACAATGTAAAAAAAAATGTTTTGCGTGATGTAGAAAAATGTGTCATACCCTTAAAAGACTATGTGTGACATGTGTTTGAAAAAAGTGTACACAATTTTAAGAATGTGTAACAATGTAAAAATTGTTTGTGTAGTCTATAAAATGTTTATTTTCATTAAGAAAATGTAAAACATGTATTTGGAAAAATATTACTATGTATTTAAAAAGTATTGAAAACATGTATTTTAAGAAAATACACGAAAAGTATTTAAAAAATGTCGAAAGTGTGTCAAAAAATATTTCATGTCTGCGCTAAAAATGTACATTGGGTATTGAGAATAATCACACTTGTGTAAAACAGAAAACCAGTTACCGGCAAAGAAACAATATAAAAACGAAAAATAAAATAATGTGAAGAAAATCAGAAAACGAAAGTGCAACGAAGAAAAAAACAAATAAAAATAAAGTATAATGAAGAGAAAAACAGAAGAAAACCGAAGAAAAACTTAAATAAATAAAAAATAAAGAAAAACCTGAGCAGCGGGAGCAACTACGCTAATGAGCCGGCCTAATTCAGCGAATACCAGCTAAATCCCCTCGAGGTTCAAAATAGGTCGGGGTAAGAGAGCTTGATGTGCTGATTTAAGGGATTGAAAGTTCAAGGTTTATTTTAGATTTGGGAGGTTTGGAGCTGCTAGAGATGCTCAAAAGAGTTAAAAAGAAAAAAGAAAGAAAAGCAAGTTTAAGGCGACCCCTAGCGTCTCGAGCCCGTGCACTGAGTCCACCCATCGCCCCGTGCACCCGTCTCCTTCCTTCCTTGACTCCTTCCCCGCACCCACTCCCGGATCTCATCTCACACAGCCAGCGCACATCCCCCACACCCAGATCCGAACCCTAACCACCCCCGCCCCAGATCCGGCCGCCGCCGCCGCCGGCGATGGCGTGCCTCGCGATCTCCCTGCAGCCGGTGAACGGCCCGGACATCCTGCTCCAGACGCGCTCCTGGTTCCCGGTCTCGCGCGCCCTCGCCGCCGTCTCCGCCTTCCGCCTCGCGCGCCTCAGCCTCGCCCGCGGCAAGCAGCACCCCTCCTCCTCCTCCTCCGCCTCCCTCGACGCCATCGGCGACGACCCGCTGGCCACCGGCTCGGGGCAGCTGGTGGTGGGCGTGGAGTCGCAGTACCGAGTCGTCTACCGCCTCGTCAACTCCATCTACGTGCTCGGCGTCACCACCGCCTCCGACCACGCCGCGCCCGCCGTCCACGCCTTCGCCGTCGCCGACGCCGTCAACCAGGCCGTCTCCGTCCTCGTCGCCGCCTGCCGCGGCGTCGACGCCACCCCCGAGAAGGTCCACCGCAAGTACCCCGAGGTCTACCTCGCGCTCGACCTCGTCCTCCACGGCGTGGGATCCGTCCGCCTCTCCCAGATCCTCGCCACCATCCATGGCGACAACCTCGCCCGCATGGTCAACTCCTCCCCCGACGCCGAGGCCCGCGCCCGCGGCGCCGACTCCTGGCCCGTCGTCGAGCACCTCGCGCAGGACCGCCACGCCGCCCGCGACGGCTTCGCCACCGCCTCCTTCGAGCTCCCCCAGGAGACCCTATCTGCTGGCGACGAGTTCTCTGCTTCCAGCCTCGCGCCTGCGACCGCTGCGGCTACTGGGGATGAGCCGCCGCCTGAGGAGGCGCCCCCGGTTGAGAAGGACCCCTTTGCAGCCAGCGACATGGTTGCTAGCAAGCCAGAGGAGGCGTTGGTTGGTGCCTTCAAGAAGAACAAGGAGACTGCCCTTGTGGTTGCTGATCCTGCTGCTGCGCTTGCAGGGTTGGAGGTCACCACTTTGCCGCCAGCCGAGGCCACTAAACCAACATTCATTGGGGTTGAGGGATTTGAGGGTGACTACGGTGGAATTGAGTTTGGTAATGAGGAAGCTTCACTGGCTGAGGCATTTGAGGGCTTCAATGCGCCATTTGGGGGTGGGCTTGATGCTTCTGAGTTTGTTACCACAACCAAGAAGGATCACAAGGACAAGACCCTCACTGGTCTTGAGATTCTAGCCATGAGTGGTGGGCAGGCACCAAATGCGCCTTCTGGTTCGCCACTTGACAGCTTGGTAACCCCGAGCAAAGAGATGACCGTGCCTGAGTTGTGCATTGTTGAGGAGATCAATGCTGAATTCAACGAGTCTGTTCTTGCACGGGTTGGTCTGAAGGGTACAATCATTTTGCGGACCTTACCACCAAAGAAGGCAGCAGGGAGGGAGGCAGAGTTCTCATTCCGGCTTGAGGGTACTTCTGGAATGAAGAGGGCTGCCTTGCAGAGTACCGTGTTGAGCAGCCTCGAGAACGGCCTGTTCCATGTGAAGACACCATCGAAGGAGGAACCTATCCCCATCATGAAATACAGCTTCCTGCCCAAGCACTCACCTCTCCCCCTGAGGTTGCGTCTTGTAAAGCGCCACAGTGGTACATTGCTCTCACTGATGATACACTATGCGTCGAACCCGATGTTGCCGCGGCCACTGAGCAATGTTACATTCATTGTTAAGCTTCCTGTGGATCCAACTCTGCTTAATGTTTCGCCCAAGGCTGTGTTGAACCGGGCTGAGAGGGAACTCAGGTGGCACATCTCAGACATTCCTCTGAAAGGCCCCGCTGGACGGTTGAGAGCACGGATGCCTGTGGATCAAGACTCTAAAGATGGCGAACTGGAGGTTGTTGGAATGGTGAAGTTTGCTTACCAAGGGCCATTCACTTTGTCGGGCATCAAGCTCTGCCCAGCCATCAATAGCACTGCCCAATTTAACGAAGTTGGCCACACTTTCTCCAGCGGGAGCTACCGTTGCATCTGAGTTGGTACCTTCTTTGTACTGTAGCTGTTTACTTTACCCCCTTTTCAGTTTGCTTCTACAACAGGGTGTGAAATTCATATTTGTACGTATATGTTTTGTGAGGCTGGAATTTAAACCATGTTTTCGAGTTGTGATTATTCATCAAGGCTGCACAATCTTTTGCAAGTTTCATAGTACTGCTCAATGCTCATTATGGATGAACTGACCTTTAGTAATTCATTCACTATTGAAAGCTGTCATTACCTTTTCAGTCTAGTTTTCTAGAATAAGGAGAGGATCTCCCCTGGCCTCTACACAATCTTTTGCAAGTTGGCATTGAAAATGATTTGTTTGCTTTCAAGTTGAAACTTGCAAATTTGGTGCCGAGATGTTTAATGTATATCCCTTTTCTCATTACCTTCCAACTGCACAATACATATTTGGTTTTTTACTTCCTGTTGATAGGTGAACTGAATTGTTCACGGAGAATCTGGTTATGGTATTTTATTATACAGATTCAAACATAGTTTCTGTTCTTTAACCAAAAGAGTGATGGAGTAATTGCTCGCAGGTGATTGCTTTGCCCCTTGTGTTCCTTTGATGCACCATTGACCTTTTTATTCTTTTATGACACACAGGTTACTCTTTTCATCCTCTACATAGGTTGTCCTATAAGGATAGCACATTTCTGTAAGACATTAGACATCCACATCTATGCTGGGAAAAGATTCAAGTCAAGTAAACACTTTATTTCTGGAAACACGGTAATCAGGATGGTTGAACTCGAATCCATTTTTCGCTCATAGGGATCTCCAAGGGTATGAATCTGACAAATCCCCTGTCTTTGGGTAGTGGTTTTGCCCCTGGGTTCAAAAAGCATGGAAAGGGGAAAACACTTACATAGCTGCAAAGGGAAGAGATCAATCTATACAAAAACATTCCTTTTCAAAATTTTAGTTCATCAATTCTGTATCGTGTCAGTATGATGCCTGGTTTTCTAGGCTCCCTTGCATGATTGACATTAAGCAACGATGATGTGCTTATCTTACAGTATGCTGAAAATAAAATTTACCAATTCAGTGGTGCCAACTCTAATACTCCTATTGCTCTGGCGGGCTGCTATGCTGTTGGTAATATTTAGCAGAATCAATTAGGAATTGTCCTCTGTTAGATATCTGTTTTGTGCAGTTTAAACTTGCAAGGTTCTTTTTTTTTTAATCATGAAGTACACACCATGCTCTCCAAATTTCAGGAATTTCTATCTTGGATGCCCACATTATTCGGGTTAATTCATCTCTATTGCTGTATGGGTTCCTTCCTGGTTCATAGGTTCCGTTTAGCTGAAATCTTATACTGCACGTGTGTTAGCTGAATGCCAGCTCATAATATTGATTTCCTGTAATTCTCACCTGCAATTATTCTTCAGTTTTCGTTATGCACAAGTGCCAATTTTTTATAGTTAAAAATATGGCAGCATATCTGATGAATGTTTGCAAGTCTTTAATAACTAGGAAATTGCGACATCCAATTTTGACGTATCTACATTTTTGGTGATTTTTGAAGTTTCGACGTGTGTATTCCCATCATACTCTTTATTCTTTTTTCCTGTAATGTTTGTAGAAAGAGACTGGTATGGATGCAAACTATAACTTGAGTCTAGGGCAAATAAATCCTCTCTCTAAGGCATCTTTACCTTTACTTTGGCCGTAGCAAGTAGGAGTAGTATACATATCTGTAGTGTCTTGAGCGTGTGTAGATAGATTGTATTTTGTTCCTTCCATGGTTTGTATTTATATATACAGTACATGAATTGAAACTGTGCTGTATTCTTCCAGCTTACACTAATTGCGTAGCTTTATGTTATACTCCCTCCATCCCAAAATAAGTGTCACAGACTTGATCCAACTTTGTACTAAAGTTGTACTGAATCTGCGACAGTTATCTTGGGACGGAGGGAGTATCTGTCAAGTGTCACTTCCTCGCACTTTTTCCTGTTGCTGGAGGGTAACTGCATTGTCAATGATATTCTTGTATTGATGGTAGTGTCGAAACTCGGAAGGTAGAGTGTATTCCAGCAAGGTATGAATCAACTGAATTGGTAGATGACAAGATTTTTACCGTCATCCTTAGGAGGGCATTTGATGCTAGAGTTGCAGATAGTAGATGCTTTTGGATTTAAGAACCTTTCGATGCTTTGGAAGTGGAGTTTCAACACCTGGGCTCAAATGCTCCTGGTGTGAACAGTTAAATAAATAAAGTAGAAAAACATTTCAAAAAATTCTGATTTTTTTGTGGCAAACTTTAATAAATGTTTGTTGTGCATGCAAAATTTCATTACGAGATGACATTGGAGGAAGGCATGGTAAAGAAATTTCCTTATAGCAGCAGCGCTAGGTTCTCATAATATCTGTCTTCGCTATAACTTGTACTCGATTAATTAGGATCGTACTTGTCTAGTATGGTTACTGTTAGCTGCCAAGATGTTTGTTTCATATGTATGCTCAGGTTGATATGTTGGCTCGCTGTGAAGCCAAGAAACGCCAAGATGTTTGTTCCGTCATATAGTGTATGCATGATGGCCCACTTGCCACGGAACAGTCTGAGAGGCCCATGAACCTATTCGGAAGAAGCCCCAGCCCAGTTGACACGGTTGCAGTCAAACTGAAGACAAACCCTAAAAAGAAAAAAGAAAAAACTACAAATACCGAACACAAGCCATGCTCAGAGATGGGCAAGGCTACTGTCCGTATGAATGAAGCACCTATATACAAGAGGATGGCATCATGGAAAAAGATGAAATTGGACACATCCAGCAACCCGACAACAGAAGCCAAATCGATCCACAACTATAATCGCTCAAGGCTCTCATGGATGTGACGTCTTGCCCAGTCCCCACGGTCAGTACCAACTATCATCGAATACAAGATCGAACAATAAGCTTGTGAGAACAAAGTCCGGTGGATTGCATGGGAACTTGAAGCAAGAACGTAATCCAGTTTTTATGTCCATATTTGCAGTAAAACAACAAGCCAGGCTCATGGGAAAGCACTTTCATCTACCAACACTTTGCCGTACAAAACGTGGATATTTCATCCATTCAAAATACGACTCACAGGGGAACAACTATCCAACACCCGCTCCCGTGCCGCTCCCCGCAGCGGCCCGGGAGAACCCTAGATCGCCGCCGCCACCACCCCCCTCTCCTCGCTCTCACCTCCTCACCACCGGGCCTCGAGCAGCGCGGGGGCGGCTCGCCTTAGGAGGTGCTGGGCTCGGCTTGGTGCGGTCGGGCCTGGGCGGCGGGTGGGTGACGCGGTCGTCGGGGGGGCGCTGAGGCGGAGGAGGGAGGTGGCGTCGTCGGCGCGGTGCTGCGCGAGAGCTGGCGAGGCGCTGAGCTGCGCGTGCGCGAATGCGGTGCAGAGCTGCGCGACGCGCGCGTGTGTGCGCTGGCACGAGGCGGGCGAGAGGGAGTCAGGGGTCGGGGCCTGTTGCTGGGCTGCCGACTGGCTTGCTTCTCGGCGCGTTGGGGGCTTCCCAGGTGCGGATCTACCGTGGAGGCTAGCCTGCGACCTTAGGGGCGCGGCTCGAGATGCCTCCAGATCTGTCGGGGTAGCTGGCCGGCGACCTCCTGGGCACGGCCGAGATGTGAACTGTGCTTGTGCGCCTTGGATTTGGTATGCAGGAAGAGCTGGCTGGGCTACAGGTTTGGGTGGGTGTGGCTGCCGGTGAAAGCCGCGCTCCAGTTGTGGCCGGAGCGATCAATGGCGGCGCCTATGGGTGTCGTCCCCTTGTTGGAGGCATCGATTGTGCAGTCCCTCCCTTCCTTTGCCTGACATTTTTCGGGGGAAACTCTAGATCCGGTCTTCCGGGTCGGACGATGACGATGCTATCGGCTTTGCTCGGTGTTGTGTCTCCTCTTGAGGACATCGTCTTGAAGATAGACTCAGTCAGAGGGGCTCAGTGCTCGTGTAGGTGGTTGGCGACGGCTCGTGTAGCATCTCCGTGAGAGCAGCAGAAGCACCCTCCACATGCAGAGTGCGTCAGGCGAGTTTGTCAGCCAAGTTCGCGGGATCGAAGCGGCATATGTTTGCTCTATCGGACATAGCGTTCCTCTTTGATGTCGTCGAGTTTCGCGGATATGCTAGTGGCAGCCCGGATTGATACAACGGTTTGAGGTGTGCACTTTGGTAGCGGCGAGAGCGCTCGAGTGCCGGACCGGGTGTGTTGTGGGGTGTTGGCCTTCTGACGTGTTGTAGGTGTTGTGGTGCTTTAGGCCTAGTCTTATCAGGCGCTGTTTAGGTTTTTGCTCGGTTTTCCTTGATAAACTGAGCAACCCCTTTTCATTTCTTCTTTTTCAGCACTCGTCTTATGCGGTGCATTCCTCCTTGAGGGTGTTACTTGTAATGCCTCTTTCTGTTCAATGAATTTGGCAGCTCTCCTGCCAACATTCCAAAAAAAAAAATACGACTCACAAACTCATAAGCTAGCTCTGCCCATTTACAATAAGCTTGTACTCAATCATACCAGGTTGAATATACAAACATTACAATGCTGGTGTACGAGACATCCTCAAGTGGGCATGGGAGCTGGATGGCGAATACTCGTCGCGGTCTCCATACAATGCAAAATTTGTAAGAAGAGACTAGCACAAATACCCGTGCGTTGCAACGGGAGAAAACACTGGTCCTTATGAATCAAAATTTGCCAGGTAGAACATGGTCTAGTTGTGTGCTAGTGCTCCAAATTTTCTACCAAAAACTTCCATGTCCAGCTGCGTTGATGTTCACACAACCACAACTGTCTGACTCCATCGGTAGGGCTACTATGTTATGGGCAAACAGTTGGACATGCACTTGTTTTAACTACAAGATTTAAGTAAAAGAAGCAGACTCCATAATACCACATTCTCTAGAAAAACTAATTATGCATAAGAGCACGAGCTTATTGCACAATAACGCAATCTCTAACAAAAAATAGCCGTTTCTTTTAGGGCTATACACACAGGAAATAGTGAAGTAAAA